CAACCTCTATCGAAGCGTCGCGCCGCAGCATGTTCGCGACGCCGCGCAGCCGCGATGGCGGCTCAAGAACGGCCAGTCGACGCTGACGGCTGCGCCGCAGGATGGGCGCCGCAGCGGTTCTGCGGCGCATCGCCGCAGTCGATGCAATCTTGCAGTCGGCCGCCGACCCGCTGCAGCGCGCCGCGGTGTCGCGCGGGTATGCGGGGCAGGTGGTTCGGGGGCTCCAGAAGGCGAGGTTGCCTCCACAGGGCCTGCGACCGATTCTTGCTGCGATCGCGGAGTCACGCCTTGCCGAAGGCGACGAGGCAACCATCAACACCTGCATCTCGCAACTGGTTAGTGCTTGCGGCGATTCTGCCAGCGGCGTCGCGGCCCCTCAGGACTGGGGGTCGCTCCAGGAGTTTTTGCCTTACACAGTCTGGGATTCCCTGCCTTCGGCGGACCCCGACCCCCTTTTCGACTTTCTGATTCACCTCGGCCTTCGCCGAGCTTCGGAGCCTACGCGCCGCGCGATGGCTTGCCTGCTCATGCAAGCAAGGGAGGGTATTGACGGCGCTCTACAGATTGATAGTGACACAAAGACGGATTCTGTGCTTTCCGTCGGCGCGCCGTTCGCGGAAGAGGGTAAACGGGGCTCGGCCGCCGCCCCTAAGTTGCCAATGCCGCCGGTTGGTCTGCAGAGCGACTATCCCGATCTGTGCGTGCGCGCGTGCAGTCTGCACCCGCCGAAGCGTTTCGATGTCGACCGCGACGGCTGGAACGTCCTCGAGAAGACCACCAAGATGCGCCATCGCGCATCTCGGCCCGCAGCCCCCCGCGAGCGCCTCGACGGGCAGCGGGCTGCAGCCGGCTTTCCCGTGGCAGAGTCTTCCAGGTTCTCCCGCGTGGCCTTCCCAGCAGCTGCAACTGCTGCCAAGCCTGGGCGCGTCCCCTGCGATGGTCGCGCAAGTGGTAACATCGATGGTGCAAGTGGTAACATCGATGATGCCGACGTTGATGCCGATGCAGCAGCAGATCCAGCAGGTGGTCCAGCAGGTGCTTCAGCAGTCGCTCGCTGAGCAACCGAGTGGGACAGCGTCGTAGTAGTG